ATATTAAACCTCGTTTAGCTATATTTTAATGATTAACATAATTTATTTTTAATTTTAGATTGAGAAACATTCTATTCTGTGGGGCATCACCACTATTGTCGTTAGGTGTTTTGGGATTACGCAACAACCTGAGTCATTATGCTATATGATGGTTTTGGATTTTCAAGAAAACGGCAGTCTCAGGAATTACTTGGACCAAAATTTTTACAAGATGGATTTGAAATCAAAGTTAAATTCATTATATCGTATTGCAAATGGTTTAAATAAGATACACTCGAAGAAATTAGTTCATAGAGACCTTCATCCTGGAAATCTTTTGTATAATAGTATACTAAAGCCGAATATCTCTGATTTAGGTCTTTGTAAAATATTTTCAGAAAAAAAAACCTCGACTTGTCAAGAAATTCGTGGAGTTCTTCCATACATTGCACCCGAAGTCTTGTGTGGTCAAGACTACGCACCGGCAGCAGATATTTATTCATTTGGAATGGTAGCATATGAAATGATCACAGGATTTCCTCCATACTATAATATTCCTCATGATCAAGATCTTGCTGTACAAATCTGTCAAGGCTTACGTCCAAAAATTCCATTCAAGACTCCAAAATATTTAGTTAGATTGATAATGAAATGTTGGGATGCGAGGTCATCGAGTAGACCTAAAGCTATATATATATACAGAATTTTACACAAATGGATTGAATTGATCGAAAGTGATGAACCTTCGGATTTTAAGGAACAAGTTAAAAATTACGAAAATGAAGCTTCAGAAAATTCGTTAAATAATAACTTCACAGGAATTAATTATAAAACGCACCCAAACGCTATTTATACCAGCAGACTTTTGAATTATTCTAACTTATCACAACCAACTAATGCCCCCAATTATGAAAAAGTACTTAAAATGTTATCGGATGAATATGCAGGTGAACATACTGTAATAGTATAACGTTTATTACATTTCTAAATTATTGCTAAACAAACTTATGCTTTTAAAACTTTTTGCAGACTCAAGCTTAGTTGACTTGGATATTCAGATTTTTAGGTATTTCCGAAATGAACTTTTTTAATCGCAATCTAACTTGTCTTGTTTAATTAATAATCACAATTTAAAATTTGCTTCAGCTCATGAAAATGTTTAGCTATAGCAAAGAAACAAACACTGTTTCACGGCAGTCAAAACTCCTCGCACCATGATATTTGGCAACAGATTGGATATTTTTAATAATTCAAATATTGAAATAAAAGATAATTAAAAATAAATTTTTGTTTATAAATTAGATTTTAATGAGTAGTTTTATTATATATTCTAATTTTTTTTTAACCATCTTCTAGTATTTTATTAATTATTCAAATATAATAAAAAACTCACGACCTTATTATAAATTTTTAAATAATTATTGAATATGTAAAACAGGATATCGAGCTAAATTACGGTAGTTATATATAAGTGATTTTTAAAAGTTCAAATGTTTCTTTAGAAAAAGTCTTATTTCTACGTATGAGATATAAACAATAACCTTAAAATAATATTAAATTTAAAGAATTTATAAAAAGAATCGCGAACATCTTTAATTTACAGTAGATCATTTTATTTCTGCTATTGATAATGAAACATAAATGGTATAATAAGAATTCAATTTATTCAAATAATTCCTAAATAACATAATATAATGAATCGATATTGTGTTTGTTATTTTTATATAACAATGTCATATTGAGATTAATGTTCTTATACCGTTTATGGATATTATGTAAGAGCGAATATATGAATAAATATATTTAATAAATTTCTTTATTAATACCTCATCTATTTCTGTATCAATTATTTTTTATTATTCATTTTTCAAAATTTACAAATAACTTTATACTCTATATTGTTATTATTAATTTAAATCAGTTTTGTATAACTATATTAATTTTAATTTTTTATTAATAGTTATATTTTTAATTATGAATATATTCAAACAAATTTAATCAAATAATAAATCTTATTTTAAGTTTTTTTGAAAATCAATTGATTTATTAATTGCGTATATTATTTGTTTAATGTATTTTATATTTACAATTAATCAATAAAATAAAATAAATAAAAATATATTTATAATTTTAACAATAAAAATCAATACTTTTTTTAATTTTTAAAATTTATATTATTAAAAATTTATTTATTAAACTAATGTTAATATTAATTAAAAATAAACTTATTAATTTTTTAATATTATTATAATTTTTTTTTAATTATTTTTTTTTATCAAATTCAAATATTAAAACGTTGATAAATTAAAAACATTATTAATTATTTAAATAAAAAACAATAAAAAAAATATTATATATGGTTATTACATCATTATTTTTATCAGTATTTCAAAAACTAAACTTTATTTAAAAATATTAAATAAAGTTTTAAATCATATATCAATATTTTAATATAATAATGATCTTAAATATTTAAAATGACAATTAAAAAAATAATTACAACTATTTTAATTTTTTAAAATTCTAATATAACTTAAAATATTGATCTTATAATTAACAATATATATATATATATATATTTATTTATTTATTTATTAGAAATATATTTACAAAAATAAATTATACCGTATCTTTTAATTTAAAATTTTATAACTTTATAATAAAATCAAAATTAATCATAAATAGAATTAAATGAAAAGAATAACGATAATAATAAATTTAAAATAAAAATCACATCTAATTTTGCCACCTCTGTACGTACACATTATACAGTATAGTTTAAAAATTATTATTTATCAATACGATAAATAATAATAAAACAAATAAATATAATACCATTAAAAAATTATTATAAAAGAAGACAAAGAAAAATGAATGTTTATAAATAAACTAGGAAATGGGAATCGTTGTTAGTGTCTAGAACAAGAACGAAAGATTGTGGGCGTTAATTTTATCATGTCACAAAAATCTTGGGAAACAAAAAATAATTTAAAAGAAAAAAAATCCCCCAAAATTATTAATTTATTGACATGTGATCTAGAACCAATCAGCCATCGAAATCGGGACTGACAACGTAGAATTACAGTATATATTCGCTTCGCTCCGGACTTTTTTTTTTCTTTCTGAATAACTATTAAAGAAAGCAAAGGTCTGAATCTACGTACGGTGTTGCAGGAACTTGACTCTTGGTAAAGGCAGTTATTTCAATAACCAAAAAAAAAAAAAAAAAAAAAAAAAAAAAAATAGTCCATGAAATAAAACAAGGTACACACCGACAAGCGATTGTCCATCATCATCTATGGAAATTCAAAAGGACATTTTGTTGCATTGATTAATTGATTACGATCGTTGTTAAACAAGGCGATTCATATTTCCATATGCGTTTGTTATTTTGCAGCTCATCTGATCTCGATAGTCGGTAAATTTAAGTCTAGTTTCTGCAATAAATTGGTTCAAATGATTGAGGTACTACCACGTACGGACTGTACAAAGGGTATGACGAACACGTTCATCACGATAAATTGCATCACACGATTCTTTAACTGTAAATAAGGTTCGCGTAATTTTGAAACCCATCCCGATCACGTGAATTTTATACGCCCGCAATCCGTAAATGATACGAGCGTGCATAAAATACCCCTCACCACGCAAGCTGACCTTTGAGAATATTGGAGGATTGCATACGTTAATTATTACAATTTACAGAATATTGATGGCACCAACAAAAATGGCGTTTTTTCATTTCAAAATATATTACCATTTGAAAAATTGTTTCAGTGTCACAGCATGTACAGAGATATTACAAATAACCAATTCATAACCACTTTGGGTACAGACAATTTTAAAATGAGGAGTATTCTGGAATTTGGTACATGTATAACCATGAAACCGCTTCTGCGGCTTATGCATACGTAGGTATGGTACATATTGTACATACACGATAAATTATGATACGGTGGTGTCACCCTAGGAAAATATTGAAAAACTTTAACTGGATTTACAGTATATTCAAGCCCACAAATGAATGAAAATGAATTCACTTCGGGTATGCATAAAATCCTTTTTTTTCTTATATTTAACACTGGTGTTAATAGTTAATAAATAAATAAGCAAATAAATAATCCTTTGTTTCCTTTTGTTTCGTTGTGGCTTTTTTCGATCAACAATTAGAAATACCAGGAAAGAACGATTGTTTCTTGACAGGATACGTATAAGCCCAATAACAAAGAAAGATCTGTAGAATTTGACCGGGCGGCTGAGTTTTCTCATGCGTTTTTTTACATTTACACAGAAGCAAGAGTGGTCATTTTATTGACGTTTGTCGTCTGCCGATTTATTAGACATCAAATGAAAATCAATGGACGAGACTTTTCCTCCTAAGATTGCAGAATGGACAAATTTGTTAATTTTTGATATTCACCTAGTACGCATAGGTATTAGTGGCACCAAGAATAGTAGAAATTAATAAACCACGCGCGGAGAAGTGTTAATCCAAATTCGGTATATTGTTTATATAGTGTCAATTGTGGGCTTAAGTGTCGTGTAATTAGCACAAAATTGTACGTAATATTTTTTGATGTACAGTATTTTGTGCGTCAGAGATCAAAGTCTATTGCTTTTTAAAGTACGTGCTCCGATGTTGCGTACCAAAATAACGTTGATATCTTGACCAACTCTATCAACGTTCACTCCAAAATTTATATAAATAAGCAACTCCTCATAAAATTGGTACACAAAACATAATTTATCTACTGCACAGCATCTTGTCCCTCTCCTGGAATTTCGTCGGATAACATTGTAAACTCTACTTCTCGTGCATATCAACTCCCGGTATTTCTATTTTTTTATTTATATATCTGTCAATAGGAAGGTCCTTTTAAATTTACATCTCCCTTTCTTGTCTTGAAGTCTCCCGTCATATGTTTTTTTCTCTTTTTTGAAAAAACAAACCCAAAAAAATCTCTTCTCTCGTTTCTTTTAAACTATCATTATTGGTATAGATTTTTGTATCTACCATTAAAATGAATAAAATTACAAGTCTATCCCAAATAAAGCTGGAGACCTACAAAGACGCCAATTTATTAAATTCTTCTGCTCATCCAATTACAGTTCATTCCCAAGTGCGTGAAAGGAGTCAAGCAATGCTTAGTTTTTGGAATAATCTCTGGAATCCACCAAAGATCGAAAAGTATTCGATAGAAAACTTAAAGTGAGTATTCCAGCTATGTTTAGATTTTGATTATGATGGGAGCAATGGAATGGTGGAACTGTGTTTTGACAATAATTCGGTCAGACGATTAGAAGATGGAGTTTATCGATGAGATAAAATGATTTGAGAAACACATGACGCATTTATTCAAAAAAAAAAAATCACCATTATTCTATCGTGTTTGGCCAAAAATGCGCCTGAGTATAAATACGGAATTTTTCTATATGGATTTTCCGTGTAAAAAATTTCTTTCGGGATTTGACATCACGTACACATTTTTAATAATATACCATTTGCATATGAATAGGCGCCTAAGTGCATTGCTCCTGGAACACTCGAGACGCGGAAATGACGATGGTATGATAGAATCGATGAGAGAGATAACGCAAATTCTGGTTTGGGGTGCGCGTTAATTTTTTATTTTATCAAGTGGAGTGTATACGTGTAACTCTTTGAGAAAAGAATCCAAAATTTTGATCATTGGATTTATTATATATCCGAATACTGGAATTCCTAAAATCCCGCACGGCATGCAGGTGATCAGCACAAGCCGGCTTTGCTTGAGTATGCATTCATGCACTATATGAATTGTTTCCCGTCTGCTTATGGTCAAAGTTAATCAAGTTGGTTATGTGCAGGTATTTCTTTGAACAATGCATTCACTACGTGTTCTTAAAAATCCTGGAGAAAACCAAAAGCCCTCATGTTACCAAACAATTGTTGCAAACGATGAATATATTATTTGAAAATATACATGATTTGACATCTTTATGTGAGTATCCCCTCCTTGGCTTTCGATAAAAGCATGCGTCTTCTATGTGGTAACGGAAAATCTAATTTCTTATTTTCCCTCATGACTCATAGATTATCTGTTATCAAATAATTACATAAATCAAATGATATGTCACAAGTTTGATTTTTCCAATGAAGAAATCCTGGCTTACTTCATCTATCTTTTGCGAACCCTCTCCTTTAAACTTGATACAAATACTTTATATTTCTTTTTCAATGAGGTTTGAACTAGGATTTAATTAGCGTTCAATTACACTCATATCGACTTACACAGACTAATCAGCGATTCTCCTTTCCCCCCCCCCCCCCCCAGAACATCGATGATTTTCCCTTGTAAGTGTGACACCTCTCGGTAATTTGGTCATTTGATGCATTGTTTGTTAAAAAGTAGACGATCATCAATGTTTAGGTATTCGGAAGCCATTAAATTCTTTAATTCCGACGAGAGTATGATTAGAGCTGCTGTTCGTACCATTACGTTAAATATCTTTGCGGGTATGCTCCTCAAAGTCTTTCATTATTAATGGTTTTCACGGACAATTGAAATGCTTAACGAATGATCGTGTTCAAATGTTTCTGATTCATCAAAGTGAACGATGACCAGATGCAGGATTTCATCTTGGACAAAAAGGCCGCACCATATTTTTCGAATTTGGTTTACTTCATTGCTAACCACGCGTCGATCCTAAACGATATAAGTAATTCTTCCACGTACGTTGATCCATAATATCTATCATCGTGATCTTGATGCATGATGTTAAAAGTTTGCCTTATGAGTGTCTACGCAATTTTCCTTGACTTCAGATATTACAAGCAATATTCTCGATTTAATTATTACATGGCCGAACACTGCGATAATTTCTACTATATAAATGATATCATCAACCTTGATATTGAGAAAATGAATCAAACATTGACGGCTCATCTGATGGATCTATTGGTACAACCTATTTACGCGGATAGTTTGGTTAAAGAAAGTTTACTACCTTCAAAACAAGTATGTGTGTGTTTTGATTTCGCCATGTTTGCGTTTTTCCTTCTTTCTTTTTTTTTTCTCCCAGTCATAATCGATTATAATCGATTCAACACAAAATATTAGAAAGTAAGAATTAACTCTGTGGTCGCGCTCGCTCTTCTTTGTCACGTACTACACATCTTTCGTCACACTCCGCTGGTCACATCGATGGTCGCCATGTTATTCGCGAATTCTCCGAGTATGATGGATTATTCACATTCGCCACCTACGAGGTTCGAGTATTCCGGTACCTGGTTTAGAAGGTAACGCCTTCATTAATTGAAGTTCGTTGAAGTCGAAATTTTACGATCTTTGTCATGCGTTATATAGAAATCTCTACAGAGAGGCTATTATGGGATTCCTTGTACCGTCAAGACCAGACGACTCTGATTATTACGATCTAAACACTCTTCCCGCCTTATGTTTGCTATATATGTCATGTCGAAATAATGCAATAGCACCTGACGTTCTGATTGCCACGGATGTGTATCCACAAAAATTGTTGAAGACGCGTCGATTAATGGTGATTACATGGTTTCTCATTCATTAAATGATCTTTCATAAAACCTTATACCGAAAAGCATGATAACAAATGACGTATTCTAGATGCAGGATACCTTCGTAAGCGATTCAGAGGACGATGCACCGCCTTCGTTTGACGAGAGACGTTCATTTGACACCGAGTCAACAGCGTCGACACCGTCACAAGCCAAGCCCATATATCCAGGTGTTATTGATCCCCAGCTTCCTAGTTCAAGCTACAAATCCGTCCGCGGACTATTTATTAACGAAGAAGACGGGGAGTCTCAATATGGGTCACTTCCTATGCCCACCATAAAAATATCTAACGATGATTATAATCATTATGGATCTCAGAACACACGTAACTACCGTGGTGAATTGATTAAAACGATTTTAACATTACTGTGTAAATATTATCACCTTTGCCGACCGATGACACTTCAGGTAGGCGAAATTTGGTTGTCGCTGTTTGTCAAAGTCTCGTTATTAATCCTTTGTTTGTTTGTGTTCGTCACACAGATGGCCACTGAGGTCTTGTTGGAGATGCTCTATTACAATGGATCTGGAGAGTGTTTAACAGACGATCAGATTGAAATGATGAATGTATGCATGGGATAAATATGCCTAGTCGATCATGTTCATTGAGTTCCAAGCCTAAACCCAAATACATTTTTTTTCTTTACAAATAGAAAGCCGAACGAGATTTGCAGGATCGAATAAGAAGATTTTTATCGAATGGTCAGGATTTTCCATTAGAAGAAAGTGAGAAGGCTGTGTCCGACGCGATGTGTAATTATTTCATTTTTGAATTCTAGAAGTGCATCTTTTGAGTGTGACACTTACACTGGAAATTCTTAATCGTAGTTGGTGGTGATAAATATGTCGCGGAAATCATTATGAGTGCCAAATTGTTGCTTCCACCGCCGGTCGTGATGGACCCGGAAAAGAGGAGTGATGCCAATATCGGTAGGTGTGCCGGAGAATTCACTTTTTCACGCGATTTATATATATATATATTACGAAATATCATATTCACACTCTTTGAATATTAGAACCCGACATGTTTAAATGTATAAAGACGCTATACCTCATCCGTAAAACCCGAATGTTACTTTCTAGACGAGCGTCAACGGAGGTGTCCAACTTCGACAACGATCGTCAGGAAGCAAACCTTGGCATGGACATGGAACAGGAGTTGGTGTATCAGAAATGTGTTGACAACGACAAGAAATCAGGTGTTAGACAGAAATCCATATTGGACGGAGAACAATTTAGACAGCAACAGCAAATAGAAAACATCAGAAATAAATTAAACACGAACACACAAGCGATCCCAAAGAATCCCGAGGATTTGGAAAAGCGAAAAAGGATGGTGTTTGATACACTTGGAATTCAATTATAGGAAAGGACACGGTTACAATAATACCGTTCGGCGTTTATCGAACAATTAGTATTCATTGATAAACTTTAAAATTAAATAATATTGTTAATACGCGAAATCTAATTTTGTATAACATTTAATCCTTGTACAAGAAATACATTGAAATAATATTTCACTTCCATCTGAATATTTGTTTTCTTCCATTTATCCCTCTATTTTTTTTTGACCATGTACATCACATTTAGGAAGATAAAATCCTTCTTCTCTAATATATTAATTTATGCCTAACAATGTCGATTGCTTGGTAACCTATCAAATTAGTTTGCTTAGTAATGCCTAAATGTTTACAATCATAAAATCCTTTTTTTCAATGTATGTTAGCAGGAAAATAATAGGAGGGACGGTTGGTGCGGGTCATGTGACATGACGCGATGCATCAGTGTGGGAAGTAAAGTTTAGGGAGTCTGTTGGAGATTTGCATGACGTGACGTTAGATTGGTGGACGCGTCGCAGCTAATATAAATAGAAGTAGGATTAGAGTAGTGAATGTAAGTTAGTAAAAACCATGTAACCAATTGTACCCGCAGCATAATTAATAAACATATTGAAAATACTTGTTACCTATAGAATCCAATATCGTGCCTATTGGTGAAAGATTGAGTCACAGGGACAAAGCGGAAAGAAGGAAAGTTAGATAATTGCCGTGCCCACAAATACCTTTGGTATTGCAAGTGACACGACTCCTACGTGCCTAGTTCTGGATTGGTGACGGACTCGCTGGTAGTGCTAACAGTACTAATCTGCATACCAAGTAACCAAGAAACTCGGTATTTCGTCAGACACTTTACGTCGTTGGCACAAGCAAGGAAAGATCTCTACTAAGACATCTTCCATCTGGAACTCGTGATCATACCTGAATTCAATGAAAAGAACATGATGAAACGAGATCGAAGAAAAATCAATTCGAAAGTGGTTCGGAGCATGCTTACCTGGTCACATTATTCATTCCAGCAGCGGCTAAAACACAAGGCCAAGGAAACAGGCGTGATGATAATTATCCAGGATGAGGCGTACACCTCCAAGACCTGCTGCTCTTGTGGGAACACACAAAACATCGGCGGAAGAAGAATTTATAAATGCTAAGTAAGAATCATCAATTCCTACATCCACATGTGGATGATAACGCCCGTGGGAAGATCCCGCGGGCTCCGTTTACATCTCTGTCTATAACCCTATGACAGTTTCCGCGTAATGATTATCAATGATGTGTTGCAATCCATCCGAACATAGTAGATAATTAGATGTGCTGTATAATGTACTTACGAATGACCATTGAAAAGAATCATATGGCATTTGGTCGGGGAAACCCCTAAACTAATCGATATAAACATGGTTTTCAAATTTCAATGTGCTAAGCAGTTCACATGACTGGGTTTTGGTTGCGCTTCAAATAATGGCCTATTTTTTCTTTCCATCTGGGCGAAATCCCGGGTTTGAGTTTTCGACGTAATAAAAAACAATTTATCCAATCATTTTGCCAACCTTGGTACAGCTTTTTACTCTGTACTTTTCTATCAAAAATTATTTGGAAACATAATAAGTAATACAATATCGGAAAAGATATACTAGATTCTACTTTTTTTCGTGCCGTATATCGACCTTATAAAGTTTATTGTATTCACTATATTACATCAAGAGAAATACGATAACGGCAATAAAAGAATTTTTTCTTTTCTCAACCAACCCATCACGTGTCAACTATCGACGCGTTGTGTAAATTGTGGGAGATCTCAATGAATGGGAAAGTAAGGAATGAGTTGAAGTACCTTAGTATACATTGTATCTCTGTCTTTTATATTACTATTTCAAAAAAAATATTTACACCTCGATCTCAATTATCCAGAATCACAGACGTGACGTGATTTGAAAGCACGGGATCGGCTTTTTCACAAATCAACATCTGCAATGTTAGATGCTTGCACGAAATATGCCATGCCCTATTCCTTGTTCAACTGTTTCGTTATTAATAGCATTGCCGTCATCCTGGAGTCGTTGATGTCTGTGCATTTCTTCACCTCCACCTTCTGAATGTGTTACCCGCGCACGCCTATCTCGTCGGCGCCTCCCACCAGTCCTTCGTACATTTGTCAAATACCTTATCCACCGGAAGTGCGGGAAAGTATGATGTGAGGAATCATTACCATTAGTTCGAGATTCATTATCAACGATTCTGTTGGAATTCGAGGAGAATCCGTCTTGGTGAGGCTGTAATTCTTTGTCCCAAGATGTATAGTCTGTTTTGCACATTGGGCATAATGGAGAAGTATCGAGAAGCCACGGATCAATGCATACACTTTAAAAGAGAGCAACAGTTAACAAACATTAAATCATGAAAAAAAAACAAATTCTTTTCAAAGATCTAAAAAAAAAATTGCTTACGTATGATATTGGTGATGACACGGAAGGATTCTCAGCTCTTCACCTGACTCAAAATCACCCAAACAAATTGGACAAGTAAGTTGTTCATTGATGATCCCATTGAAGGCCGACGAATTTGCTGAAGGTGGAAGTGTCTGTGGGGAATCTTCTATATGAGGATCCTTGGTAATTTCCATAACATCATCGGCAGACCTATCTACCCGAACATCAATGTCTTTTTCTTCAATCCGGGAAGAAGGGGTTTCTGTTTCTACCGTTGACTCCAGCCTTTTCTCATTGATAACCTTCAACGACTCTAATACTGGTTCGCTGGTGACATCCCCAGCTTTGGCATCCTCGGAAACCTTACCTCCGTTACTTAGTGAGAATAGGTAAACCGGAAAGCTATCTAATACCGATTTGGCAATACCGTTTCCTGGGTTGCTGTGATTTCCGTTGGTCGTTCGTAACGAGGGGTGAAACCTATTCCTTATTAGATTTGCGACAACTATTATGAAAAATAGTCCAAGTACAATTCCAGATACTGAGTATAAGATGATCATAGCAGTTTTATAAGTGGTCGCTATCAACTTGTCATCTGATTCGGGGGGATTGGAGGTTTCTGTGTTGTTTCCGTAGTCATCATCAATGTTTATTAGTGTTATCGCCGCGTACTTGTTGCCCAGGATGCTGCTATTTCTACACATTTTGTCATCTTCCGAGGGCAAGGAAAACAATGGAACTGAAATATTAGAGAAAATAGGTCCACACGGATTACTATAATTAGAGTATAAGATTATGGCGCTTGATTTGTTTTTTTGTGCCGAAGAAACATAGCTCGTCGTGTAAGTCGGTATGTCACAATTGACATAGGCTATCCATTCCGTATCATTTGTACTGTTGAGCTGAGAGTACCACTCAGGCCAAAAAAGTATGACTCCCTAGAGTTGAACGTCCAGCATAAATGTTGATTCTGTTATTTATTAAAATTTGCGAATTTCACATACCTTGACATTATTAAGAGGGTTTTCTACGTTGGTTATATTACAATGTAAACCAAGATCGAATGTAAACATTATATAATAAGAATTATCCTTTGTAGAGTTACCGACACTTCGAACATCAGTCGATAACGTCAGAATCCAATAAATAACACCCAGTAAGGCAAGCGATAAATTCATCTTTAAAATTCCGAGTCGCCGCGTGATAAATTTTGGTAAATTATTACAGGAAACCCTCGTTACTCTGCAATCTTTTAAGTTTATTATAGTGGTGGGGTGATGTTTTGCATAAAAAAAAATATTGTATCGTAGATATGAACTTTTTATGGGTTTGTGAAAAATTGGCAATAAACATTCCTAATAGTGGTAAAACCAATTACACAATCAGTTATTCGATTTTAAAAAATCATACACCTTACATAGTTAATACAGTTGAAAGATGACGAAAGAGGTGAAATTTATTTACGTATTTTTTATGTTATCCTCAAAAAAGGGTTTTATTTATTAGAAAGATATCGGGATAAAAATGGTCCGGCTTGTCAACTTGCGTACAGTATAAGGGTTTAACATCCGTCATCTGACAAGTAAACATTGCCCATTGTATGCTGCGGTATATTAGATCACGTCAAAGAAACCTTTGTACCAACGATTTATTGAGGTAAATCGTATATGTTGTGATACTTGCCAAGAGTACATGTAACATCAACATGCATTTGACGAAATTCGTAGACCATTGCATACAGTACCCCGGGCATTAATCATTTCACCTGAACCTGAAAAGAGTTAAAAAAAGAAAATTACTATTAAAAGAACCGGGACGGGCATCTATTTCTTAAAATTGATAAAGGAATTAACAAAAATAGTAATATCAAATATCAAACTCATTTAAAAAAAAAAAAAAAAGTATAATAAGATACTGTATTTTAATAAAAGTTATTGATTTTTCTTGAAAAATAAAATGATTTAAATTATCATTCTTATTTATCATGCAAATCAAAAATTTTTTGATTTTATTTTGTATAAAGTTTTTAAAATATTTGATTTACAATTTATAATAATATTATTATTATTTTATAAATTAATTTGTAAATATAAAGCCTTTTTTAATAAAAATATTATATATAATACAATATATAATTGCTTAAACAAAATATATATTGTACAAAAAAATTTTTTTAAAAAAAATACTCTTTTCTATATATAAAATTTTTTTTGCTTTTCAATATTTAAAAATTCTATATGTTTCTCTTATCTTTATTACAAGAGTTTCAAAAAATCCAAACAATATATTAATATATTGAAATAAAATTTCTAGTTAAGAAAAAACAAGTTTAAAAATCTTGTTTTTTTAAAAAATTATATAAGAAAAAGTCTATAGCAGTTACTTCTTTATAAATTTTTTTTTAAGTTCTTTCCATTTTCACTTTTTATTAATATATAGAATTTTATTAAATAAATATATATATTTTTAAAAGCTATTATAAATAAATATTATTATTTTGAGACCTGTGGGTCTATAGTGTAGTGGTTAACACTCCACAGGTCAGATCACAAGATACCAGTTCAACTCCAGGTAAAG